ACTTATCAAAAAGCTAGCACAATAAACATGGAAACATGCCTGATGGAGTAAGTAAAATATGCCAGCTGTTCTATGCAATGATGAATATACAAAGCTGTGATGGTCACATCGTAGTAACAGGCGACACATCCTATAGCAATAGGACGCGAATAAGGTTCGATGAATGGCCTCAACATAAACTCCCCATCATAACACGATAGTGAAGGGCTGAAAGAGAACAAGCGTCAGGATGATGATATACACATTCCCACAATAAATGCCAATCATTAAAGGCCAGTCTTGTCTCTTAAAATCCGGCAAAAAATCTCATTAAAGAACTTCTCTAAAGTAGATATATGCCTGATGACCTAGAATGAGGAGCAGTATAAGTTAGCGCTAATTCACAATGCCAAAATAATCTGTTGAAATTATTAACTCCGAATTCAAGGATATTTTGTAAAAATGCATCGTGGGGACATCATAAATCAGAATGTAAAAACAGAGTTATGTTAAAAGCAAAGCATAAATGGTGCATCAGTATAGGACACCGGAATAAGTCGAGTTGTAGGTTAAATACATGGAGGGAGATTCAGAACTCTTTGGGAATAAAACTAACTACCTTTCGCCAAAATGAATGTTTTCAAGTTTTTATTTAGCAGAGCTCATGCCAGGCTAATTTAAACGCATTTTTAATATTTAAAAAAGTTGGAACCATTTCTCCCCAACCAAAAAGTTTAACTTAATAGTAAGCAAATCTGCCCCGTCCTTTTTGCACAACTAAGCCACAGAATCTAACATCATGTTTCGGTGACGACTCACTGAAACAAAACCGATAAATTCAGTTTGTATTAGTGTCCCCCACATAGTTTGATAAGTTGTAACTCAGCGCTAACGATGACGCCTCTCACTGACGATTCCGAATACGACGACACAATGTCTGATAATGTACCAAATCACCAGTCCGATGCGGAAAATTACGAATACTATGGTAGAGGAATACTAGGTACGTTCATCTTTGTTGCTCCGACCAAATCATGAAAACGAGGTCAAACCAAAACTATACAATAAAGGACCTTGAAAGTTGTTAAAACCGTTAAGCCCTCACTAGAAGTACAGCTAATGAAGAGGATCAAGAAACGAGAAGCAGAGGCATCAAAATATCAAATACCTCCCTTGCATTATTCGCGTCTTAAGGAAAGAGTCGCAATCAAAATGAAATTAGGTGAGTTCGGGGAAAAATAGGTTAGAAATCGAAAGCATAGCCAGACGAAAAAATAAGAATGAAGAGAAGGTACTCAGGAGACAAAAGTTATCAAATCTAGCATAGCTGGCTATAGCCTTCATAGCAAAGCCCTTTAAAAATGATATCGCCGAGGCAAATTCTACTTCGAATGCAGCTGACGAAGAACATGATAGTAGAGTATAGAATGTTTTATTATAAAATTTGCATGAAAAATACGAATAGATAGTTGGTCATAGACACAGATTTAAAATGATCGTGTATATAATGCATCTAAGGGGATGAAGAAATAAATGCAGATGAGCCCAAAAGCAAAAGGTTAGCAAAGGATATGGAAAAACCGGTTGAAAAGAGGGCAAAATAGTTGGTGAAATGATGTGACCAGGAGTAATGAGTAGAGATATAGAAGTAGTAGGCCGAAGAAATATCAATTCCTCTTGATATGAAGTAAGCTAGTCGTAGATAGTTGGCCCCGGGTTAGAATGAGGACTCCTGCATGAATGAAGATTGAGGAAGAAAAGATTTAAATCAGACCCAAGGCATCCAAGCAGGATCCATTAGACAAAGGTTGAGTGGGCAAGTTGCCGCCCGGATTGACTGCAGTGCCCGAGTTTCTCGGTCATTGGACTCGAAGAGAACTGGAAAATTAAATAGAGCAAAATGAGAGAAGAATACGAATGATGACACATGCATTCAAAAATGTTAAAATTAGCCAATCTAGTTAAAATGAACAGTATCGACTATGCCAGTGGTTCTCAAACTTTGCCTATTCGCGGCGCCCTTTTTCAATTAAAATTTGTCCATGGCGCCCTACTCTAAGAATGACTATTCGTAATTAAGAGGTAAAAATAAATAAAACTCGTGTATCTTCATTA